AAGGTCAGGTGTTCGAGACCAGCCTGGCCAACGTAGAGAAACCCCGTTCCTACTAAAAATACAAAAATTAGCCAGCAGTGGTGACACAATGCCTATAATCCCGGCTACTCGGGAGGCTGAGGCAGGAGAAGTGCTTGAACCCAGGAGGCAGAGGTTGCTGTGAGCCGAGATCGCACCATTGCACTCCAGCCTGGGTGACAGAGCCAGACTCCGTCTCAAAAAGAAAAAGAAAGAGAAATTAAAGTGGAGGCCGCGCTCCGCCTTCCCGTTCCCCTCACCCCAGGTGGACCGCGTCCTTTCAGTCGAGCGAGCCGCGGGGTTTGAGTTTTTGTGCTCTTGGTGGTGGCTCTGCTGTTTGCAGAGGCCCCACGCATCGAGCTGAGGCCCCATCTTGTGTTCCTTGGGACCTCACGGAGGAACTGATAGGAGGGAGAAGCTTGGCTCAGGCAGGAGGGAGAGAGCAGCTGTCCTGTTCCACACGCCCTGTCTTCGATGGGCACTCGAGAAGGCGCCTTTAAAAGGACATACCAGGCTGGGCGTGGGGGCTCCTGCCTGGGATCCCACATAGAGAGACCTCGTCTCTGCAAAAAAAAAAATACAAAAATTAGGCTAGGTGCATTGGCTCGCACCTGTGATCCTAGGGTCAGGAGTTTAAGACCAGCCTGGCCAACATGGAGAAACCCCGTCTCTACTAAAATACAAAATCTGGGCGTGGTGGCGGGCACCTGTAATCCCAGCTACTCTGGAGGCCAAGGCAGGAGAATCGCTTGAGCTTAGGAGATGGAGGCTGCAGTGAGCCGAGACTGCACCATTGCACTCCAGCCTGGGCGACAGAGTGAGACCCTGTCTCAAAAAAAAAAAAAAGAAAGAAAGAAAAACACACAGAACAAGGTCATGTATTGATCAGATAAAGCAAAGGAAACTTTCCTGAAACTCAAAGGAAACTAACCCTGCAAGAATATTCTCTGGGTGTCGTGATTCGGAATTCACAAACTAAACCCCACCGCAAAGAATGAGAATCAAATCGGCAGTGTATGTGTCTATGTGTATAAGTGTGTGTGTTTATATACACATACATACATATATATCTTCTTTGTGACTAATAACTGACCGGGTGCGGGGGCTCACACCTATAATCCCAGCACTTTGGGAGGCCAAGGTGAGGTGATCACTTGAGGTCAGGAGTTTGAGACCAGCCTGGCCAATGTGGTGAAACCCCATCTCTACTGAAAATACGAAAATTAGCCAGGCGTGGTGGTGGGTGTCTGTAATCCCAGCTACTCGGGAGGCTGAGGCAGGAGGACTGCTTGAGCCCAGGAGGGCGAGGTTGCAGTGAGCTGAGATCTCGCCATTGCACTCCTTTGTGGGCGACAGAGCAACAGTCTGTCAAAGAAAGAGAGAAGAGAGAGAGGAAAGAAAGAAAACTATATAACTTAATTTTACGAAATCTGAACATCTCATAAGGAAAGGAGCATCCACCACCCCGGCACCCTATCCATTCCTCACACACCCTCTTATTTTTAAAAATTGAGGTTCCATACATAGTTTGATCCTCTGCCTTTAAAAGCTCTTTGCTGGCCAGGTGCAGTGACACACACCTGTCATTCCAGCACTTTGGGAGGCCAAGGTGGGAGCGTCACTTGAGCCCAGGAGTTTGAGACCAGCCTGGGCAACATGGCAAAACCTCATCTCTACAAGAATAAAAATTAGCTGGGTGTGGTGGTGTGCACCTGTGGTCTCAGCTACTCAGGAGGCTGAGGAGGGGGGATCGCTTGAGCCCAGGAGGTTGAGGCTGCAGTGAGCTGTGATCACGCCACTGCACTGCAGCCTGGGTGACAGACCCTGTCTCAAAGAAAAAAAAAAGAGACGGCACCCATCGATGGCAAGGAGGATGAAAATAATACAGTGCGCTGATGAAAAACGATTCTTTCCAGCCGCCTAAAAGCAAGCCCGAGAGAAATGCACCGAGTCACCCCCACAGAATGAGGAGCTGTGGTTCCCCAGGCGCATGGCCTGGGGCAGGGTTGAAGTCCTGTGCATTCTGCGGCTGACCCAGGGGTGCAGGTGAGGTGGCTCCAGCATCTCGGCCACCATCCTGATTCTATGGATCAGGAGCTGAGGTAACACAGGGTTTGCCTAGGGACATCGCTCTTATTGGCAGTTTGTGACGGGGCAGAAGTCTAATTTCCCTTCTTTCTCTGCGGTGGCATGGTGCTACGATCCCTTGGCTGACCCGGCTAGCCAGGGCCTCTCTGAGTCTTCTACAGCGCAGGCGCCTTTGGGCAGGAGGGAGGAAAATCCTGAAGTCACTCGTTTCCTGAGTCTGTGCGTGTTCGCTAGCGGGGCCCTGCTTTAGAGGCAGGACTGGGTGGAGGCTGTCGCTCCTGCGCGTGTGTGCACATGTGTATCTCTGTGTCCATGTCTGTGTGCACACGTGTGTGTGCAAGTGTGCCTGTGCGTGTGTGCACATACGTGGCTGTATGTGCGTGCACCTGTGCAACTATGCTTGCACGTGTGTGTGCACATGTCTGCGTGTACACCTCTGTGTGCACGTGTCTGTGCACCTGTGCACATGCGAATGTATGTGCACTGTGTATGTGTCTGTGCATGTGTGCATGCATGTGAATGTGTGTGCATGTGTCTGTGTCTATGTGTGTGTGAATGTGTGCATGTGTCTGTGTGCACGTGTCCGTGTGTGCATGTTTGTGTGTCTGTGTGACCGTGTGTGTGTGCATGTGACTGTGTGTACACGTGTGTCTTTGCGTGTGCACGTGTGCGCGCGCATGTGAATGTGTACATGTGTGTGTGCACATGTCTGTGTGTGTACATGTGTGTGTGTGTTTGTGTGTCTGTGTGTGTATGTGTGTGTGTATGTGCGTCTGTGTCTAGAGTTGGGAGGGGAGGCAGTGCCCTGGCTGTCTATAGGTCACTAAGAGGTCAAGGCTCTCACAGGAGTGATTCTGCCCCCGCAGGCGACCCTGGGTGGTGTCTAGGGACATTGTGGCCATCCCATCTGCGGGTGCTCCTGGCATGAAGCAGACAGAGGCCGGGCATGCTGCTCAGCACCCTGCAGAGCCCAGGATGGCCCCGCCCCAGAGAACCATCTGGCGCTGGTGTCCCTGATGCTGGGTGCAGGGTGAGACCCTGGCTTAAGAGAACGTGCGTGTGCAGCCACCTCCTCCCTGCAGCTGAGACCCTGGAGCCTCCGGGAGAGCCAGGACTCGGCCTCCCCAGCTGGGCTGCAGGGTGGGAGGCCTCCCGCTGACCTCAGCGTCCCTGGCGTCCGTCACAGCCCCTGGGGCGTAGGGCTGCTGAGAAAGTGTGATGTGTGCATGGCCCCGACTCCAGCCGACTCCAGCCCAGAAGCATCGCCCGCATGGCTCTTCTTTGTGTCAGTGGAAAAAACCCCATTGGTTTGTGGAAACGGCAAATGTTTGTGAAGGAAGAGGGGCTGGGCCGGCTTCGGGGACCACAGGGGACCTTCGGGGCAGGAGGGAAACAGCCTCGGCCACGTGAAACCGGCCCAGCCCGGCCTTGAGCAGCTCAGGAAGCTGGGCCTGGGTTGGGGCCGGGGCATCTGCTGACCTCCCTGGGCAAGCCTACTGCAGGGCGAGGCCCGCTGCGCTGGACAGGGCTCCCTTAGGGCTGAGAGTGGTGCAGCTCCTGGCTTCTCCTTTTTTTTCCTCTTTTTGCGACAGAGTCTCAGTGTGTCATCCCGGCTGGACTGCCGTGGCGCGATCTTGGCTCACTTCAGTCTCTGCCTCCCAGGTTCAAGTGATTCTCCTGCCTCAGCCCCCCGGATAGCTGGAATTACAGGCGTATGCCACCACGCCCTGCTAATTTTTATATTTTTGGTAGAGCTAGGGTTTCACCATGCTGGCCAGGCTGGTCTCGAACTCCTGACCTCAAGTGATCCGCCCACCTTGGCCTCCCAAAGTGCTGGGATTACGGGCGTGAGCCACCGCGCCCAGCCAGCCCCTGGCTTGTCAAAGTGGGGCCGGCGACTCAGCAGCAAAGCAGTAGTGGCCTATCCAGAGGGACAGAACCAGGCATCTGGCCTCACTGTGTGCAAGCCCTAGCTCCGTGACCTCGGCCAGTGTAGACACTCAGCAAGGCAGGAGGCTCTGCCTGCTTCGGGCCTCCCTGTCCACAAAATAGGAGGCTGCGTTGGAGCTGGAGGGGGCAGATTGCTGCCTGCCTCTCCCTCCAGGCCTTGGAGGGAGTCAGGAAAGACCATCAGGGTGCTCCCCATGGCCTCCCCACAATCTGTGCCCTCTGCAGCAGAGACGGATGTGGCACCTGGTTCGATCCTGGGTCCGGCTTGGAGCAGAGGATTCCGTTCCATGGAAAACAGCAGCTCCACAGGGCCCAGGCCCACCCCACGCCCCAGAGCCCACCCCACACCCCGGAGCCCAGCCCACACCCAAGGCCTGTCACAGGCCCATGGAGCCATCCTTCCCTTCCCGTTGACCTCCTGGCCCGGTATACCTGTCACTTCCACCATTCGGGGTTAATTGGTTTGCCCCCTCCCCTCCCCCCCCCGTTTCCATTTTCCACCTCTCCCTTTGCCTGGCACGTGGCTTCCATGAAACTAGAAATCAGAGATGGAAAAACACCCAAGTATTCCACGGGAGGGCTCCGCTCCAGGGAATTTTGTTTTTCTTGCACTGGTGTGTCTGATGGACCGGACTTTGACGGTGGGGTTGGGGCGCCGCTGTTCTGCAATGGATTAACACGAGTTTCTAGAAGATCATCTGCCCGGTTTTCCTGCAAGAGAAACTTCCATGTGTTTTCCGAACGGATCGCTGGTAAAGAATAAAGCCAATCCTGCCCCCGCTTCCTCCGGAGGGCACGGGTGTTTGGAATTCCCATGCTTCATTTTCTGGTGCCAGCAGCATGGGTCTCCAGGAACAGCTGGAGACAGCTCTGTGAGTTCCTTGTAAGTAAAAAATATGTCACCACGCTCTTCTCTCTCTCTCCTTTTTTAAACAGGGCGACAGGGCGTGCAGCACGCGGTGATTCCTGGGGAAACTAAAAAAGGTATGTGGCATTCTCTCTTACCTCACGGGCTTGGAATCTCTTGTTTTTTAGAAAAAGGAACAAATAAGCCTCAGTCTTTCATGTGTGCCTGACACATCGGGAGGCTGAGTCATCCCATAAAAAGGCTCCGGGCTCAGAGCCAGGAAACCTGAGTTCAAATCCCAGATCCCCTTCCAGCAGCTCTGCCCCATTTGGGTGGGTTCCTGTTAGCTGTCTGCCGTGCAGATGACGTTCTCTGTTCTGCAGGAAGGTTGCAAAGATTACACAAGAATATAGATACCAAAATATAAAAGCGGCCGGGTACGGTGGCTCACACCTGTAAGCCCAGGCAGGCAGGCAGGTCACCTGAGGTTGGGCATTTGAGACCAACGTGGCCAACAGGGCAAAACCCCATCTGTACTAAAAATACAAAAATTAGCAGGGCGTGGTGGCAGGCGCCTGTAATTCCAGCTACTCGGGAGGCTGAGGCAGGAGAATCACTTGAACCTGGGAGGCGGAGGTTGCAGTGAGCCGAGATCACGCCACTGCCCTCCAGCCTGGGAGATAGAGCCAGACTCTGTCTCAAAACAAAAAACATATATGTAATATATATATATGTGTGTGTGTGTGTGTGTGTGTGTGTGTATAAAATATATATAATATAGGCTGGGCGCGGTGGCTCACGCCTGTAATCCCAGCACTTTGGGAGGCTGAGGTGGACGGATCACCTGAGTTCAGGAGTTCAAGACCAGCCTGGCCAACATGGTGAAACCCCATCTCTATTAAAAAAAAAAAAAAAAAAAAAAAAAAAAAAAAAAAAAATATATATATATATATATATATATATATATATTTTATATGTGTGCAAGTCCTGGCTCCGTGACCTCGGCCAGTGTAGACACTCAGCAAGGTAGGGGCCTCTGCCTGCCTTGGGCCTCCATGTCCACAAAATGGGAGGCTGCGTTGGAGCTGGAAGGGGCAGTGTGTATAAAATATATGCATATATATTATACATATTTTATACACACACACACACACATATATATATGTATACAGAGTGGTGCACGCCTGTAGTCCCAGGTACTCAGGAGGCCAAGGCAAGAGGATTGCTTGAGCCCAGGAGTTTGAGGCTGCAGTGAGCTATAATTGCACCACTGCACTCCAGCCTGGGTGACGGAGCAAGAAAACCTGGTCTCTTAAAAAAAAAAAAAAGAAATATATATATATGTGCCCAGTGTGGTGGCACATGCCTGTGATCCTAGCATTTTGGGAGGCTGAGGCGGAAGGATCGCTTGAACCCAGGAGGTGGAGGCTGCAGTGAGTTGTGATTGCACCTCTGCACTCCAGGTTGGGCAAAGAGTGAGACCAGGTCCCTAAAATAAAGAAAGAAGATCTATATATGTACAAATGCTGAGCAGCACCCTGGCATCTGAATCAGTACCTAAGAGGCAGGAGTGGAACCCGAAACCACGCCCATCTGTTTCATTCCTGTTTTTCTAGGAACCTGTCCATTGCACACAGGTGACCTCATTGGGTGTCCTACCTGTTCATAATGGCACGGCGTGCTCTGCCCATGCTTTTTATTTCCATAAGGTTGGCAGTAACGTCTGCCTTTCGTTTCTGCTTGGATTATTTGCATCTTACTTCCTTTTTTTTTTTTTGGTTTTGCTTTTGGTCAGCCCCGCTAAGAGTTTGTCAATCTCACAGCACTTTTCAGAGAACCAACTTTTGGTTTCGTGGATTCAACAGTTTTTCTCGTCTCGTTATCGCTGCTCAGATCTTTACAGTTTCCTTCCTCCTGCTGGCGTGGGGCTGCCTTCGTCCTAACTTTGCTGGTTCCTTAAGGCAAGCCACCCTCAAACGTTTTGGCAGTAGGGAGCGTTTTCGCGGAAGACAGCTTTTTCCCTGGGGAAGGCGGGTGTGGGGGAGAGGGGAGGACGCTTTGGGGATGATTCCAGAGCCTAACTTTCATTGTGCACTTTATTTCTATTATTATTACATTGTAATGTCTGATAAAATAATTCCACAGCCTACCCTAATGTGGGATCAGTGGGAGCCAGGAGCTGGTTTCCCACAACTAGATGGTCCCTGGGCTGGGCGCCGGGGCTCACGCCTGGAATCCCAGCACTTTGGGAGGTTGAGGCGGGTGGATCACGAGGTCAGGAGTTCAAGACCAGCCTGATCAACATTATGAAACCCCGTCTCTACTAAAAATACAAAAGCTGGCCAGGTATGGTAGTGAGCACCTGCAGTCCCAGCTACTTGGGAGGCTGAGTCAGGAGAATCGCTCGAACCCAGGAGGTGGAGGTTGCAGTGAGCCGGGATTGCGCCACTGCACTCCAGCTTGGGCGGCAGAGTGAGACTCTGTTTCAAAAAGAAAAAATAATACAGAAGGACCTAGGTTTACTCGGCCACCTCTCACCCATCCAGCCCGGTTCCTAACAGGCCACAGACTGGAGGTACGGGTTTATGGCCCAGGGGTTTCAGACCCCTGCCTTAAGGTGTAGGGTGAGGTTGTGGAGTTGAGATCTTTCTCCCTTTTCCCTGCAGGTGATCACGGGCAGCGCCCTATCCCACACGTCGAGGTTAGGTTGCATTTCTGCCATCCTTCGCGTCAGGGTAATTTCCAATTTCCTTTGTGGTTCCGTCCTGGGCCCATTGGCAGTTGAAGATTATCGTACATAATTTCCACATATCCCATGATCTATTCGAGAAGGAAAGCAGTCAGAAAGCAACTCTCGTGGCCGGGCGCCGTGGCTCACACCTGCAGTCCCAGCACTTTGGGAGGCCGAGGCAGATCACCTGAGGTTGGGAGTTCGAGACCAGCCTGGCCAACACAGTGAAACTTGTCCCTACTAAAAATACAAAATTAGCCTGGCATGGCGGCTCATGCTTGTAATCCCAGCTTCTCGGGGGGCTGAGGCAGGAAAATTGCTTGAACCCGGGAGGCGGAGGTTGCGGTGAGCCGAGATCACGCCACTGCACTCCAGCCTGGGCAACAAGAGCAAAACTCCGTCTCACCAAAAAAGAAAAAAAGAAGAAGAAAGAAAGTGATTTCGGTTGGGAATGGGCTTCTAGCCCCTGATCTCAGGACCCTCAAGGGGCTTGATGGTGAGGTGGAGGCAGGGCTGGTTTGGGGTGGGGGACTTTACCCTGTATCCTAGAACCAACAATCTGATGGTAGCGTCCGCTGCCTGGGGCCAGTGGCAGGCGCCTGCAGTCCCAGCCACTCAGGAGACTGAGGCAAGAGAATTGCTTGAGCCCAGGAGTTCAAGGCCGTGGTGAGCTATGATCGTATCTCTGCACTCCAGCCTAGGGGACAGAGCAAGACCCTGTCTCTTAAAATATATAAATAAATAGGCTGGGTGCGGTAGCTCACGCCTATAATTCCAGCACTTTGGTGGGGCCGAGGTGGGTGGATCACTTGAGGTCAGGAGTTCAAGACCAGCCTGGCCAACATCGCAAAACCTCCATCTCTACTAAATATGAAAAAGTTAACTGAGCGTGGTGGCGGGTGCCTGCAATCCCAGCTACTTGGGAGGCTGAGGCAGGAGACTCACTTGAGCCCAGGAGGCAGAGGTTGCAGTGAGCCAAGATCCTGCCTAGGGGCCAGAGCAAGACTCGGTGTCAAATATATGTATTTATAAATACATATATTTGTTTATGTTTATGTATTTCTTTAAAAATACGTTTATATATTTATAAAAATACATTTATATATTTATTTATATATATTTGTATTTATTTGTAAATATATGGATTTATAAATATATAAAAATAAATATGTGTATAAATTCATAAATATTATAAAAGTAATTTTTAGAAATACTTATAGAAAATACGTGGGTTTATTTATATTTACATGCAAGGAGTGAAAGGCTGCATGGAAACGTGACTGAGCAGCATGGCCGGGCTTTTCGGCATCCCCTCGATTTTGCCCCCAAGGTGACTGCCTCATGGCCTCACTCTAGCCCGGGCCCCACACACCTGACACTCAGGACGATGACGAAGAGAGTGACGGCTGCTGAGGGGTGGCCACGTGCCCACGGCGTCTCGAGCGACCCTTTCACATCCTCCTCTATGAACGAAGCAGGGGTCCCTGCCCTCCCTCCTGTTTTCCTGACGGGGAGACCAGAGCTCCTCTGCTGGAGGTCAGTTGACCAGTGTGAGGTCCCCGGAGCCCGCCCTGAGCCCAGTCCCCTGGGACACGCAGGTGCTGGCTGGATGGCAGGTGGCACAGAGCTGCCCAGGCTGGGCTCTGGTGTCTCCAGGCGTCAGGCTCAAGCCGCCAGCCACGTGGCCACGTGCCACGGGATTACGTCCCTACGCGGCAGCATCTGCTGGAAGGAATGACAGGAGCATCCAGTGATGACATCAGGCAGCTCTCGTGGGGCCCTGGCTAAGCCCGCTGGCCCTGTTCCCAGCCGCCCGGCCATCCCCACCATGGACTCCTCCTTGGTCCTCGGCATCCCCCCACTCAGCGACTCAGCAGACACCTCTCCCATGCCCCCTGCAGGCCAGGCCCACTGCTGCAAGTCCTTTAGTTCTCCCAGGATCCCTGGGGAGGAGCAGGGCTCATTGTCCACATTTTATAGATGGGGAAACTGAGGCTTGGCAGCCAAAAGATGCTTAAGGCCCGGGGGCACGTCAGAGGCGGAGAGGGATTGGAGTCATGAGACTCTGGCCACAGAGCAGCTGCCGGCCTCTCAGGCCATGCGGGCCACCTGCTCATCTGCACAGGCCCCTCAGAGCCCAGAAGGGCCATGGTCACGCTCCCTGGGGGACAGTCTCAGCGACTGGGGCCTGGTGAGAATGTGAGCAGAGGAGGCCGAGCACACTGGCTCCTGCCTGTAATCCCAGCACTTTGGGAGGCAGAGGCAGGTGGATCACTTGAGATCAGGAGTCCGAGGCCAGCCTGGCCAGCATGGTGAAACCGCGGCTCCACCAAAAAATACAAAAATTAGCCAGGCTTGGTGGTGGGCCCCTATAATCCCAGGACTTCGGGAGGCCGAGGCAGGTAG